TATCAAAGGTTTCTTCTCTTAAGTGGTTTATTATCTTCTGGTTTATTATGTTCACTTTAAATATTAACTTCTGTCAGTGGAAATTATATTCACTTGGTTAATTACTTTCATAATTTATCATATCTATTTGGCTTATTCCCTTCTCATGGTTTGTTATACTCACTTGATTTATTATGTTTTCATAATTTAAAATGCACGACTTTGAATGATGAAAGATGAAAAGTTGCGTTTTGTATTCTTGACATACATAAGGGGGGGGGGGGGGTGTAGTCTCTGGTTGTGATTAGTGGTGACCTAAATGTGCTGTGTGCATTAACATCAAATGTGATGTATAGTCAGTGTATGACTTTAGCGGTGATCTGAGCGAGTTGTGTTCAGTAACAGTAGAAAATGCACAATAACAATAGATAAATGTTTTTTCACTGGATTTTTGTAGCTTATAAATCAAATTTGATTACAGTGTAGAATTTTGTCAGAAAAAGTGCTATGATTTACACTTACATCCGTAACATCATCAAGTGTATACTGAAGTTAAAAAGAGGAAAGCATGACATGTGCTATGACGTTTCTATGACTTAAAATATAATAATTCTCTAGTTTGATTGATATGTCAAATATACATTTTCTTATAGTATAATTAGGTAAATAATAAATCAAGAATGAATGCTTCCTATATAGTAGTATGAAAACAGCTATGTTATCAGCACAGTATTGAGTATTGTAAATTTTTTATATGAATCTTCCGAGCTACTTACTGACAAAATTTAAAGCGTCCTATTTTATTAGTGGCCTATAATGTAAGTAATTTATGGTTTTCCAGTAACCCAGTTTAGGATACATGTGTTTTCTTACTCATAACTTGCAGGATTTATCGTAAGCTATAATAATCTATTTTAATAATTTATACTGAACAGAGACATAAAAATATTTTGTTTAGAAGCAATGATAAATTACTTAAAGAAGTATGTCGTCTTAATTAGTAGTGAATTTATTTTTTGCCATGGCTGATGCTGTGTAATAAGTGTAATGGGAAATGAAAATTGGAAATATTACATATACTGTAGTTGTGTAAAACGTGATTTCTGTAATATGACACTGCTTTAAATGATGTTTTATATAAATAGTTTAATTATAGTCTACTCTCACTAATTGGAATTATCTAGGGAAGGGCCCAGTGCTAATCATACAGCAGTTCAGAATACATGATAACTACTGTATTCAGCAAATTCCATTTTCTATATATTTTTGGTAAAAATCAAAACCAGGCTGGGAGTCAAAATTGTCAGACAGGATGATACCTAGGCACTGGTGCAACACAAAGGGATGTTTTCAAATATCACTTTAGGGTCATATAAGAAACTAGAGAGATGCCAGAGAAAAGTTGAAGCAACACAAAATGGCCACTAGAGGCATATCTGTAAAATCTCAGTCCTACCGAATTCTCCCTTGGTGTCAAAAGTGATTACAAATTGAGGCTTCATAATTGCTCATTCACCAGTCCACCACCAAGCTAAGCAGCACTGCCAATGCTTACCCAGGGTTCCTAAACTCACATTATCTTTGACAGAATTAGGGAAAGCTTCACACAAAGAGATAAAATTAGGACTTCAAAGCAACCTGGTGGTTCTGCTCAGTAGGATGCTCTTCATACTGACTCAAAAGTAGTGGAGCTATCCACTATTGCCGTGGAGCTACCACTACTGCTTAGAGAGCAGCTATCCAGCTGCTCTCAAAGGTAAACCATGGATACAGATGGCAGAAAACATGCAGATATTATAAAAAGGGAAAGAGTGCCAAAGGAGATACATAGTGTAAAGAATGGTCACTCAACAGAGGACAGACTGATGAATGAAGGCACTAACACCACTAGTCTAAGTAGGTGCCTGTCAAGTGGAAAGACATCATAGCACTACATACTTCATGGAAATTTTGGGCAAATTTCCTTTAGCAAACACTCTTGTGGAATCCCAGAATTCCGCTGTTCAGAATTCTAAGCAAGAGTTGTTAAAGATCTTTTTAGAGTTCTTGTCATCCATCTGGATCATTTACATTTACCATCCCTTTTTGGCATATATTTATGTACAGCTTCAGTAGTGACCATTATAAGATATTCTTATGATGCTTCAATGTCTTGATCTGTTAACTCCCTCTAAATGGTATTTTGCATTTCCTTTCTCATTCTTTGACAATCTCCTCAATGTCAGTCAAAGAGGTCACCATTCTTCACATTTGTGTGGGTTTCTACAATTGAATTCCATCTCGGGATATAGTGGTCACATGTAACAGTGAGCTTCTCTCCTAAATGGCTTTATTCAATTATGCCCACTCTTGATGGTAGCACAAAATTTAGAATGTTGTTGCCTCATGTGGTAGGAGTTGATGTTACCACCTGGTGGTGGGTGTGTAACTTTGGCTTGGCAGTTCAAATGTGCAATTATGAAGCTTCACTTGGCAGTCACTTGTGATGCCAAATAAGGATTTGGTAGGGATTTGAGTTTTTATGGAAATTGCATTTGATGACTATTCTGGGGTATAGTGAGTGTTGCTTCCCATGCCTCTCAAAGTTCTTAAAAGTGTGGCTATGGATATTTATGCATATCTGCCAATGTACACAAAAAATTCAACTAATATATTTATTCCATATACAGTATAATGATTAATTTGGATGCAAAATGTAAGGAAAAGTTTAAATGACATACATATCTATATAATTACTGGTTAGGTGAACTGTAGAATGGTGGTGAGTGGGACACCCATCTGGCTCTGTCACAGCCACACTGCACATCTTGCTCACACACCAACATGTGCTACAGGACTCCAGTTTTGACCTTTGATGTTTATACAATCGTATTTGTGTTGAATAATTAGATTTGTGTACATATGTAAAAAAATGTATGTACATAATCTATGAAAACATAGATTGAGGTACATTATAATGAGCATAATATACGTAGGCCTACAATGAAGGCATCAATTAATGTACAAATGAATTCATTTTGAATGAATGAATAAATGTATGTATATTTGTATCAATAAGAACACTAGAACTAAGGGGACTGCAGATGGCCTATTGGTCTATATGAGGCAGTTCCTATTTATAACCTTGTATGGGTACATAGGCCCATATATGAATGAGTTTGGGTGGATATAAATAGGAGGTGCTCTGTATGAGGCAATAGGCCTTCTGTAGTTCCTTTATTATTATATCAAATGATGATTGGCTGATCTGGTATACTTTGTTACGACCATATGGAGCTGCAAAAACCACATGAACGTAATCAGTATGCATATAATGTAATACAGTATAATGGAATTTTATACATTGATGACTACTGCATTTGGATAGTAACATTTGCGATGATAACCACATTTGCATAGTAAGTTATCATGAAATGATAGCAAAATGATAGCAGGATTTTTTCATGGACCAAAGGTAAACTCCACTATATCCATATAGAGCTATTTTATCCATATTAGCATCAATGGTGTGTTAATAGTTTAAATCAATGTATGATGATAACCACTCAGTATGGTATGATAACCACCATTACTGCCACAATGTATGATGATAACCCACATTACTCAGTGAATCAGCATACGAAAATAACTGCGCATTGAGGGTTAATATGACCCTGCAGGTATGTTTGAAAGGTTTCCTGTGGGGTTGGTGCCTAAGTGTCATCCTGCTTGACACTTGTAATTAAATTCATGAATATTTTCTGACACAACAGTTTCCTTCCTTGTACAACAACTGAATGTTATAGTTTAGAATTTTTTTTATTAATACAGGTGATAGAACATGTATTTATACATATTTGATAACAAATTTATATACAGAAAGTAATTTTTTAATCAAATTTATTATAAATTTTGAAACAAATTTATTCAAAATTTTGAATCAAATTTATTCTAATTTTTAATCAAATTTATTATATATATATATATATATATATATATATATATATATATATATATATATATATATATATATATATATATATATATATATTTTAACTTCTAGCATATTTATTTTGTTTTATTTACATCTATTTATCTCTCACATTGCTGCACTTATGTAAGCACCTTAGTTTACTAAAAAAAAAAAAAATCAATATAAAAAGTTGTATATAAATTTGAGCATTGTAATCGATGAGTCATATATATTGTTATAGTCCACATCAGTGAAAAACTGTCACATAACATTTGTGCTCTTATCACACAAGAACAACAAATACCAGTATTTATTATTCATTATTCTGTAGCAGGTTAATAATGTATTTACAATAATCAATAATTACTTGTTAGTATTTTTTGAAAAAATTATTATTAATTTTATTTGTTTTATGCGGTTGCTTTTTTATGTTTTGTTGTGAAATATAAATGAACTTAAGTCAGCAAAGCGTTATGCGCATAGATGTACTGTCCTCAGTAATCAGTACTCGTACTGAATAACCAAAACTCATATACCAGCCAGGTGTCTAACATAATATGGCTCTCATTTTGTGCAAATTACTCGATGGTTTAAATCATTCAAGTTCAAATTAGTGAGAGTATGCTAATCATAATTTGCAAGGGCAGATTTTTTTTTAAAACTTGGAAACTTGTCAGACGACTATTTTAATTGCGAATACTTAAATTTTTTTAGAAACTCTTAGATATATAAGTAAAATATAAAAGGGGAAGTAAGGGTTTGGCATTTTTACGTATTATAAATTTAAGTTCTTTATATAATAGTTTTGGCAATTTTACTCTCGCATTAAGAGGTCAGTCCATTAACTGAAATGAGTTGGCTATGTGTATTTTGGTTTTAGCATGTGAGCACAAAAACCACTGTTAGTGGGAGGCAAAAAAACATATTCTTAGAAGAAATGTTGCCAGAGAACACATGTATAATAATAATGGAATTGTATATTAGTGCATGAATGCACTACCTTCCTGGGAAGTTAAGAGCATTTACTATTGCTATAGTCAATATCAGTCAATGATATTTGGTATCACAGGCGGGGAGGAGAAAACCAAAGCTACCGCAGCATCAGTGGTGGGCGCCATGGCTGGTCTTAAGAACAGTTTATTATCTGGAGGTGGCAGTGGGGGAAAACCTGCGATGGCTACAGGTGGTGGTGCAGGAGGTATAATGGCTGCTGTGGCAGCTGCAGCTGCAGCTGCAGCTTCTTCTACTGCCCCTGCTACACCATCTGTGGCATCAAACCCTTCCACTTCTAACAAAGAGCACAGACTTGAAAGTAATGCAGAATCTGTGCGCCCTGACCGCAAATCCAGTAGCAGCCAGCTGAGCAGTGCCCAGCTGAGCACCAATCAACTTAACAGCGGTAAGTGGGTGTGATGCTGGCGTGATCCCGCACGCCCACACTACCCACAAGGGGCCTCCACCAAACGTGGTAATGCCCCATAACAATCCACCAAAACTAACAGATCAGGAGTGAAACATATCCTCTACTCAACACAAGTATTTGCCTGCCCTGTTCTCACACAAGACTAGTTACATCATATAATTACATAAACACAATTGTCGTCTACAGTTTTCTATATCAGATAACGTGTGGTTTTCGATGCATTAATTGCAGATACAGTACTAACGTAAGAGTGATTATATTTTATATAGAGTTATAGATTAGGACTAACTACAAAGCATGTGTGTTCTATGATTTATTTATTAATGCACTCAATCAATAAGTATCTTAGAAAAACTAGAAACCCAGTTGCTGTTTTAAAAGCATGTAAAACATATTATGACTTGAAAATTTATTATGCATACATATAGACACGGCTCAATTTTTCTATAATTCTTACTTGACTAAGCTTATATATTCCAACAAATTTGGATAAGGGTTTATGTTTGAATCATTGTAAATAAAAGATTTTGCTGCATGGTCAGCTAGCAAACGAATGCACATTTCTTATGGGCAACATATATTTTGCTCCTCTACAGAGATACGCAGTGGAAACATGACCCATTTGTTGTATCCAAGACATATTTATTTCTTTTTATCGCATGTTTTCCTATTGCTCATTGCAGGAACACATTCAGAAATATAATAGTTTTTCTTTTAAATTTAAGTTTGGTGCAGATTTTATATCACTATTAGAAAAATAATATATTTACACTCAAATTTATTATCAAATATCTGTACATACATCTGATACTATTAGAAATGTAACTTACTCAAGTGCAAATCTAGAAGCTAAGTTAGAACGTGCTAATAAAGTTGTCCTCATTTTAAGTAAAGTAATAATCATGAAATTTTCTTGCAACATACACCTCAATTATAATTGATTTGCAGCAATATAGTAATTTGGCCTGCAACACAAAAACAACCTTGCAACATACAGATCAACAGCAATCAACTTGCAATGTACACAATTTTTATTTATATGGATACTGATATTGAAGGAGCTACAGAACACAGCCACAGTACAGTACAGTACAAGTACTTCTAAAAATGCAGTAAATCATTAAATACACGGGAAATGTTCTTTTACTCGTAGGATAATAACCCTATGAAACGACCAACCCACCAAAGCTCTAAATGCCAAAATAATACTTCAATTCAAATTCAGCTGGGGAAAAAACCTCAGGAATAATAATATATAAAAATATATATATATATATATATATATATATATATATATATAAGCCTATACTTGCATAAACCACAAGTGAAGATTAACAATATTATTGTTAATCTTTATTGTTAATCTTCACTTGTGGTTTATGCAAGTATAGGCTTATAAGCTGGACACGAGTTCTCTCACATTGACAGTGGCTTGACGAAAAATGCAGACTGACCCCTCACTCATCTGGTGCCTTCGGGAGGTGGAGATGTTTGAGATATATATCTCGAACTATCTACTTCTTTTGTAAGGTCTGATGGCGTAGTGGGTTAAAGCATACTAGTTATGCCAGCTACTGGAAGGTAGTTGTGCTTTCTGGGTTCGAGTCCCACTGGTGGGTGTTGTCCAAAGATTATATATATATATATGTCGTACCTAGTAGCCAGAACTCACTTTTCAGCCTACAATGCAAGGCCCGATTTGCCTAATAAGCCAAGTTTTCATGAATTAATATATTTCTCTAATTTTTTCCTTATGAAATGATAAAGCAACCCATTTCATTATATAAAAGGTCAATTTTTTTTATTGGAGTTAAAATTAACGTAGATATATGACTGAACCTAACCAACCCTACCTAACCTAACCTAACCTATCTTTATAGGTTAGGTTAGGTTAGGTAGCCGAAAAAGTTAGGTTAGGTTAGGTTAGGTAAGTTAGGTAGTCGAAAAGCAATTAATTCATGAAAACTTGGCTTATTAGGCAAATCGGGCCTTGCATAGTAGGCTCAGAAGTGAGTTCTGGCTACTAGGTACGACATATATATATATATATATATATATTATATATATATATATATATATATATATATATATATATATATATATTATACATATATATATATATATATATATATATATATATATATATATATATATATATATATATATATATATATATATATATATATATATATATATATATATATATATATATATATATATATATATATATATATATATATATATATATATATATATATATATATATATATATATATATATATATATATATATATATATATATATACTGTATATATATATATAATTTCGTTGAAAACGACAGAAAGTTTTAGATTTATGATTCAGGCACGAATCCTCTTGATATTCCTTATTTTTTCTTCATTGAACCAGGAAGACTAAAAATTAACACTCCAAAGTTCATTTTTACTTATTATTTGGTTCTGACGCCTAATAATGCGTTTTGTAAGGTCGTACCTCACATTCTCAAAGACAAATTCTTGTGTGTTAGCACCTGATTATGTTCTCAAATGGTGAGGTGGAAAGTGACATGGATGAATGACATACATGAGGTATTAGTGGGGTCCTATATAATGGGGTTGTAAATTAAGAGTGTGACATGATGGCAGTTTATGTTCTTCTGGTTGCTTCCGTTCCTGTTGCAGGGTCATTTGGAAATATACAGGAAGCTTCAGGAATGGAAGCAACCAGAAGAACATTAAGAGGACACATCCATAATACCTCCGAGCCCACTGGGGTTTTCCAGGGCCCGTAGGGTGAGTAAACAATACGGGAAGCCCAGGCACTGGGCTAGCTGAGCCGATATAACCCTGTTTGTCAGCAGGCAAACAGACCACTAGTAGCAGCCATGAAACCTCAGGGGAACAGAGAAGTACCACCAACACAACCTAGGCTTGCCTAATAAGAAGCTACGCAGACTTTTTCCGGTAACAAAAAGCAAAAACGCTAGAAAATAAAAATAATAACCCCAAAGACACACAACAAACAAACTGGCAGCCAGAGAGAATCGTCGGCCGCCGCGTGTGCAAGCTGCGCTGGCCGCAGTGCGCCCCGCCCAGCCAATAACACTCCCCACCCAGGGCAAGACGGAAAGCTCAAGACCCCAGACATACCCCAAGGGCAATGACAATGCCAAGCAATGAATTCCTCAAATGGGAGTGATTCCTGAACACCCCAGGGAAGATAACCCTGAAACGCATGGGCAGTACTTGCAGAGCACCTAGGGAAGATAACCGTAGGCACATGCTGCTCTTGTACAATAAGACACCTGGGCACAACACCACACACACTGATGGTACAGCCACACAGGGCAAAATCCATTACAGGAAATTGAGGCCAAAGGTGACTGAACTTACCACCAGCACATCAGCTCAAGGTGTGGAGTGGTGGTCTGCTGGCTCACCTGAGTCGGCTCCCCCTCCGCTAACGAGTGGGAATGCTAGTTGAATGCAGTGTTCTTTGTTTGTTTTCTTTTTGGGGGAGTTCTTTTGTTATGTTTGGATGTAGGTTACAATGTTCACCAGATTGTGGTCTGTTTTGTTTCGCCTATCTTTCTGGGTGCCCTCCCCGGTCGATGGCAATTATGACATATTTTAAATATAAAGTGCTCATAGGCCATTACTCTTTGCACCTCTCTGAGAGGACCAGATTCTGGTGCATGGTTCCCAGTAGGCATAAGGACTCCTATGACTGATGACTCCAAACTAATATATCACATCAGTTCGGATAGCTTCAGGGAGCTATCATAGCTGATCAAGAGCCTCCTACAGTGTCATATCCCACGTTGTCATTCTCAGTTGAGAGATTGGCATGAGTGTGAGAATGACCAGAGAGCAGAGCAGGCTCCTCCTTGCTGGGCAGAGGGCCATTCAAGCTTGGTCAATAGAGCTTCAGGCTCGCATGCATGGGGTTCACGGTTTGAGTCTCCTAGAGCTCAGGTTAATGGAAGACTCAGAAGTCATCTACGTCTGTACCCAACTGTGTTAAAAAAAAAAAGATTCACCCCCAGCCCGCTGCTGGGGGATGAAGACAAGCTGTATTATAAGAGCTTAGAGCTTATTTTTCACAAGGAGAGGTTAGAGGCATTAAAAAAGCAAAAAACTAGAAGATAGAAGAAAAAGAGGCGACATGATCACTATGTACAAAATAGTAACAGGAATCGATAAATTTGATAGGGAAGAATTCCTGAGACCCGGAACTTCAAGAATAAGAGGTCATAGATTTAAACTAACGAAACAAAGCTGCCAAAGAAATATAAGAAAATTCACTTTTGTAAACAGGGTGGTAGACGGTTGGAACAAGTTAGGTGAGAAGATGGTGGAGGCCAAAACCATTGGTATTTTCAAAGAGTTATATGACAAGGAGTGCTGGGAAGATGGGACACCACGAGCATAGCTCTCATCCTGTAACTACACTTAGGTAATTACACTTGGGTACAGTAATTACAAATACAGTAGTCAAAAGACTGACAAATGCTTTTTAATATCAACAAATGCAAGTCCCTGTATGTGGGGGTTACAACCCATGCAACAACTACCAAATTAATAGAATTACATTACAGCAGATTGATGAAGAAAAGGTCCTTGGAGTCAAAATCCACCACTCTTTAAAATTTGCACAGCAGGTGAGTGCAGCAGTCAGAAAAGCTAACTAAACTCTTGGGATACTCAAGCATACTTTTGACTTTAAGGAAAAGAAGGTAATGGTTCAACTATATACATCTCTGATGTGCCTCCATTTGGATTACTGTATCCAAGCATGGAGACTGCATTTTCAGGAGAACATAGCTTCTCTGGAGAAGGTGCAACACCGGGATACAAGTCATTCAAGAGCAAAGTCATCTCTCGTATCAGGATTGCTTAAAGGCTACAGGATTAACAACACTGCAAACCAGGCATGACAGGGCAGATCTTTTTGAAACTTTTAAAATACTGAAAAAG